CGAATCCTAAATACGAAATTTGAAACAAATCCGGTGAATAATGTGGCTAAGATCATCAAAATACCGAATATCGGGGGTACCGTTGTATGTGGGCTATACGATGTCGTGGACCTATCTAGCCATTATTCTTGCAGGACGTAAAGTGCTTAGAAAGAACTTCTAGCAGGGGTTTTTAGACAATTCCATTGGAAAATGTAGCTAAATTCATCAAACCGAATATTGGGGGAACCGTTATATGGGGAATATACGATATGGTGGACTTACATAGACAATACTCTTCCAGGGGGTAAAGTACTCAGATGGAACTCCCTGTGTGGATTTTCAAACGATTTCATTGAAAAATTTGGATACAATCATCAAAACACCGAATATCGGATATCGTTATATTGTGAACCAATATAGCCCATCTTGAAGTTTGACCTGCTTGCAGGCAAAAGACTGATATGTACAAAATTTTGGCTTTCTATCTTAATTCGTTTTGACCCTAGCGTGACAGACGGACGGACGGTAGGACAGGGCTAGGTCGTCTTAGAATTTTACGTTAATCAAGAATGTATATAATTTCTTATGGTAACAAATGGCGCCCAATGTGGGGTCCAACCTAAATTCTCCCTGAAAATTTGCATAGAAACCCCGAAGTAGCTATGCCAGCCTTAACTTAGTTGGGCCCAAATGATAAAAATTTTTGGAGAATTTTTTCTTCGTTTCTCTGGTAATGTATGAACATCAAATACGGCGCCCAATATGGAGGCCATATGACACCGAAAAATATTGGTTTTGTTCAATGCACCATAACACAATTTTTTTTTTTAAATGGGGCCCAACGTAAGGCCAAATTTTTGTCATAAAAATTAAATTATTCGTAATAACTTTGCAGACAATTGCTATTATTGGCTACCCAAGTTCAGGCAGACTTTTACAATGGTAGCACCGAAAATTTTGGTTTTTTGTCCATATGGCACATGTTTTATCAAAGTGGCGCCCAACGTGAAAATAAATATTTGTCAACAATCTAATTAATTTGTCAATTAAATATGCTGGTAAGGAGTTTGCAGATAGTGGACATACATTGTATTAAAAAATGGCGCCCAACGTGGGGTTCACCGGAGATTTTTTCCAGCAAATTGCAAATTTTTCATAAAAACATTTTTGAGACGTAGTTGGGTTTTCCTTGGCTCCCGAGATTCTTTAGTTGCAATGGGTGAAAGGATGGTGGATTCCTGGGTATTTTTTTAGACTGTATTGATAGGGTGATTGATAGGGTGATTGGTTGTAGATCTAAAGACACTAAAATAATTTTTTTCTGATAGATATGTGAAAGGGGCTCTATTATCCTGATTTTTTGGTTTTAAATCCACCAATTTTCATTTATTCTCCAGACTCACAAGTTCAAATTTTTCTGTAGCACAGTGTAATATTTTTTTTTCTAATTTGTAAATTTATTAAAATAAGAAGAAACAAAAAACTGCCCCAACATCAAATCATTATACCCCATTTTTTAATTTTACATTTTTTATACCCCCTTTTAATTATACACAAAAAAACAAAATTAAATTCAAAAAAACAACCAAACCAACCACACATATTTTCGTCACATTGACGAATTAAATTAAACCGAAATAAAAAAACTAAAAATTATTAAATTAATAAATTAAAACTAAACACAACAAAAATGATATTGAAATAAATTAAACCAAGAAAAAAAAAATGAAAATAGACAAAAAAGCGAATGCAAAACCGAAAAATAAAAACTAAAAAAAAAACCAACTAAATTTAAGTATAACTAATTTCATAGCATAATTAATAAATTTAAATGAAACACAAAACAAAAAAATAAATAAAATAAAAACCGAAACTAATTTATGAAAAATTGATTGATGAAAAAATGAAGAACAAAGAAAAAAACAAAAGAAAAGTGAAGAAAAAAAAATAATAAAAAAGCAAATATTTTGAAAAATATGAGAAAATTTGTTTGGACTTTATTTTGCTGATGGAAAGGATGAAAGACTGCTGAAAAGGGTAAGTAGGAGGAGTTTTTAAGGACTACCAAGGAACATACTGCTCATAATTTTCTAAAAAATATTTTTCAGAATCTTTGTTTTCAAGGACTAATTTTTAAAAATATATTTTTAAAGGCTACCATGAACGTGAATGTCTTGAAAATATTTTTTCAAGAATCAAAAATGAATATGAATTCAAAAAAACAAGTAAAAAAGCTGTAAGTTCCGGGCCGGGTCGGGCCGAACTTTGAATATCCTCCACCATTTGGAACGAATTTGGCAATTTTCGATAAAAATAAAATCCGTTAAAAATTCTGTTAAAATTTTAAAAATACCAAATATATCCGTCTATACGACGACGTGGACCTGCATAGGCAACTTTTGTCATTAGCAATATTCAAATACGAAACTGGAAAAAAATCTTAAACCAACAAAATACCGAATATTGGAAGGTACCGTTATATGGGGGCTATACGAAGACGTGGACCTGCCCAGACAATTTTCTGTCATGGGCTCTAGTATCCATTACGAACTTCAAATACAAAATTTTAAACAAGGCCGGTTAATAATGTCGCAAAAATCATCAAAATGCCGAATATGGGGAGGTACCGTTATATGAGGGCTACACGAAGACGTGGACCCGTACAGACAATTCTCTGTCACAGGCTTTAGTATTCATTAGGAACTTCAAATACGAAATTTCAACCATTTCCGGTGTATAATGTCGACAAAATCATCAAAATACCGAATATCGGGAGGTAACGATATATGGGGGCTATACGAAGACGTGGACCTGCACAGACAATTTTCTGTCATAGGCTGTAGTATCTATTACGAACTTCAAATACCAAATTTGAAACAATTCTGATAAATAATATCGCTAAAATCATCAAAATACCGAATATAGGGAGGTACCTATATATGGGGCCTATACGAAGACGTGGGCCTGCACAGACAACTTTCTGTCATAGGCTGTAGTATCCATTACGAACTTCAAATACCAAATTTGAAACAATTCCGGCGAATAATGTCGCTTAAATCATCAAAATACCGAATATCAGGAGATGCCGTTATATGAGGGCTACACGAAGACGTGGCCCTGCACGGGCAATTTTCTTTCATAGGCTGTAGTATCCATTACGAACTTCATATAACAAATGTGAAACAATTTGGGTGTATAATGTCGCTTAAATCATCAAAATACCGAATATAGAGGGGTACTTTTATTTTGGGGCTATACGAAAACGTGGACCTGGACAGACAATTTTCTGTCGTAGGCTGTAGTATCCATTACGAACTCTAAATGCCAAATTTGGAACAATTCCGGAGAATAACGTCGCTAAAATCATCAAAATACCGAATATATGAGGGCTACACGAAGACGTGGACCCGTACAGACAATTCTCTGTCACAGGCTTTAGTATCCATTACGAACTTTAAATACCAAATTTGAAACAATTCCGGTGGATAATAATACTTAAATCTCCAAAATACTGAAAATATAGCGAGGTTCTATTACACGGGGGCTATACGAAGGCGTGGACCTGCACAGACAATTTTCTGTCATAGGCTGTAGTATCCATTACGAACTTCAAATACCAAATTTGAAACAGTTCCGGTGAATAATGTCCCGAAAATCATCAAAATATCGAAAATTGGAATGTACTGTTATATGGAAGCTGTACGAAGGCGTAGAAGCTATAGTGATTTCCACAGACCGACAGACGTACGGACATCGCTAAATCGACGTAGAGCTCGGAGTAAAGCCATTGAAATTCCAAAAAGAGCAAGAACTTACACCGCAACCGAAAGAAAATAGACTCAAAAGAACCAAAGAGTTGCTTCAGTCGGACCAAAAGTGGTGAACTGGCGAATTTGGATTTCTCTCTCTCCGATGAGAAAACATTCGTTGTCCAGCAGTTTGTAAACAAACAAAATGATCGTGTTTACTTGCCAAAGAGGTCAGCTGAAAATGTCCACCTTCGTTTGGCCACCAGAACTCAAGCGCCGGCCATGGTGATGGTGTGGGTCGCCATAACAGCCGATGATCGCTCTCCGCTAGTATTAATCGACCGTGGCATCGGAATAAATGCAGAATATTGTCGCGAAAATATTGTGGAGGCTGTATTAAAGCCGTGGGCACGCAAACATTTTGGGCATCCCAACAGGACTCAGCACCATCGCACTCAGCACTCAGCACCCAAGAATGGTTACAAAATGAGGTTCCTCGCTTCATTTCCAGCGCACAATGGCCACCAATATCTCCGGATACCAATCCGTTGGACTATTGTGTCTGGAGCATTTTGGAAAGCAAGGTTGGCACTAAAAAATACCAAAGTGTCGATCACCTCAAGCAAGCGCTTTGCCGGGATTGAGCCAAAGTACCTCAGAGCAACATTCGGGCAGCGTGTAATGGTCTCATTGGCCGTTGAAGGCCATAATTCGTGCCAAAGGTGACCAATTCGAACAAATCTAAACTTATTCTAAAATTTGATGCTATTTCCGACATTTTTTTGCTTTCATTCAATGAAATTTGAAAAAAGTGTAAAAATCATGGCGTTTGACTTTGTTGCAGTTTTTTTTTTATCTCACCTTGTAAATCAGTCATAGGTCTGTTATGAATAGATCAATATTGGCCAACTGCTTCGGAACCTCCCCAATAAAGGATCAACATCTAAAATAATCATAACTCAAGGCCAGGGGTATACATCTGTCGGCAAAATCGATTGATACTATTTTACTTGTTTCAAGGACTATTTAGTAGTTTAAAAATATTTTTTCAAGGACTATAGCCAAAGTGGAACTATTAAAAATATATAAACCTGAAAGACTAACAGACTTGGAATTTTTAAAAATAGTTTCTTAAGGAGCAACAAACTTTAAATTCATAAAAATAATTTTTCAAGAATGAACCATTTTTTCCAATTTTTAATAGAATTATTTTTAAGTTTTATATACTTTCCAGGACCAACAGACAAATAATCGTAGACTTCATAGCCATTTGTTTTTAGGTTTTCAATTATTTATTTATATATTATTTTAACAAAAGATGAATATATAAAGTCATCTACACAATATCCCTTCGACACTTCCGCATCGCCTTACGCATCAATATAGCCTGTCGTTCCTCCTCCTTGCGTCGCTCTTCCTCCTCCCATGCCTGACGTATGGCATCAGCCTCATTGGTGGCCTTTTCCGATATTTCATGCACCAATTCCAAATGATCCATCATACCCTTACGCATACAGTATTGAAAATTCATGGCGGCCGAATATTTAATATCCATACCGGAACGCTGGCCTAGCTCTTGCCAATGCAAGTACAGCCAATTTTCATTTTTCAAATCCTGTATGGCATTATATTTTGGTATGAATTCATCCAGAACTTGTAGAAAATAATTGGCAACATTTTGAATTTCAGGTTTTTCATTGAAAATCTCTAATGCCTCGTTGAGGGAATTCTTAATTACTTCCATAGCTTGCCATACATCGGCCAGTTCGATATTGACTATGGGATTGCCCACGGTGGCTTCTTCCAATTTGACCAGATCTTGACAGGCATACCAGAGGTTTTTGTATGGTAAGAATCCCTCGATAATGCTTGCCAAAAATTCCAGTGAAAATTCTTCCAATTCGAAAAGTTCCTGACGATAGCGTAAAGTTTCGCCGAGTTTTTGAAGGTCTTGTATCACTTTCCAGGTCTTTTTGACCTGCAAAATATATTTAAAAAAACACGCTTATCATAGTCCTTGACAAAAAATACAGTTCAAGTCCTTGGCAAAAATATTTAGAAAATAGTCCTTGAAAAAAAATATTTCGAAAATAGCCCTTGAACGTTTATCCTCAAAAATAGTCCTTGAAAAAAATTAAAAAAAAAGGTTTAAAAAAATAAATATTAAAAAAATCCTGAAATGCTGAAGAAAAAATGTTTTAAAAATAGTCCTAGTCCTGATTATGAATATATACACTTTATGTGGTCTATGACGAATATTTAGGGATGTTACAAACGGATTGACAAAGTTAATATACCCTCCTTTCCAAAGTGGAGGGTATAAATATTAATTAGTAAAAACATATAATGAAATAATCCACGTTTTTCCCTTAAATACATTAAAAACCCAAGGGCATTCTGGAAAAAATATTTTAAAACTCCGCTTTCAACCTTGAAAAAATAGTCCTTGAAAAAAACTTTTAAAAAAATCCACGTTTATCCTAAAAAATAGTCCCTGAAAAGAAATGTTAAACAAATCCACGTTTATCCCTAAACATAATCCCTAAAAAGAAATGTTTAAAAAATTCATGTTCATCCTTGAAAAAATAGTCCTTGAAAAACTATTGAAAAATCCACGTTTATCCTCTAAAAAATATTAAAAAAATACGTTTATCCTTGAAAAAATAGCCCTTGAAAAAAATATTTAAAAAAATATCCACGTTTATCCTTGAAAACAAAGTCCTTAAAAAGTATTTAAAAAATATCCACACTTAACCTTGAAAAAATAGTCCTTGAAAAAAATAAATATTTAAAAAATCCACGTTTATCCTCGAAGAAATAGTCCTTGAAAAAATAAATATTTAAAAAATCCACGTTTATCCTCGAAAAAATAGTCCTTGAAAAAATTAAATATTTAAAAAATCCACGGTTATCCCTGAAAAAATAGTCCTTGAAAAAAATATATATTTAAAAAATCCACGTTTATCCTTGAAAAAATAGTCCTTGAAAAAATAAATATTTAAAAAATCCACGTTTATCCACGAAAAAAAAGTCCTTGAAAAAAAAAATATTTAAAAAATCCACCTTTATCCTCGAAAAAATAGTCCTTGAAAAAAATAAATATTTAAAAAATCCACGTTTATCCTCGAGAAAATAGTCCTTGAAAAAAATAAATATTTAAAAAATCCACGTTTATCGTCGAAAAAAATAGTCCTTGAAAAAAAAAATATTTAAAAAATCCACGTTTATCCTCGAGAAAATAGTCCTTGAAAAAAATAAATATTTAAAAAATCCACGTTTATCCATGAAAAAATAGTCCTTGAAAAAAATAAATATTTAAAAATCCACGTTTATCCATGAACAAATAGTCCTTGAAAAAATAAATATTTAAAAAATCCACGTTTATCCTTCAAAAAATAGTCCTTGAAAAAAATAAATATTTAAAAAATCCACGTTTATCCTTAAAAAAATAGTCCTTGAAAACAATAAATATTTAAAAAATCCACGTTTATCCTCTAGAAAATAGTCCTTGAAAAAAATAAATATTTAAAAAATCCACGTTTATCCTTAAAAAAATAGTACTTGAAAACAATAAATATTTAAAAAATCCACGTTTATCCTTCAAAAAATAGTCCTTGAAAAAAATAAATATTTAAAAAATCCACGTTTATCCTCGAAAAATAGTCCTTGAAAAATAAATATTTAAAAAATCCACGTTTATCCTCGTAAAAAAATAGTCCTTGAAAAAAATAAATATTTAAAAATCCACGTTTATCCTTGAAAAAAATAAATATTTAAAAAATCCACGTTTATCCTCGTAAAAAAATAGTCCTTGAAAAAAATAAATATTTAAAAAATCCACGTTTATCCTTGAAAAAATAGTCCTTGAAAAAAATAAATATTTAAAAAATCCACGTTTATCCTTGAAAAAATAGTCCTTGAAAAAAATAAATATTTAAAAAATCCACGTTTATCCTTGAAAACAAATAAATATTTAAAATATCCACGTTTATCCTTGAAAAAATAGTCCTTGAAAAAATAAATATTTAAAAAAATCCACGTTTATCCTTGAAAAAAAATAAATATTTAAAAAAATCCACGTTTATCCTTGAAAAAAATAAATATTTAAAAAAATCCACGTTTATCCTTGAAAAAATAGTCCTTGAAAAAATAAATATTTAAAAAATCTACGTTTATCCTTGAAAAAATAAATATTTAAAAAATCCACGTTTATCCCTGAAAAAATATTGCTTGAAAAAAATAAATATTTAAAAAATCCACGTTTATCCTCGAAAAAATAGTCCTTGAAAAAATAAATATTTAAAAAATCCACATTTATCCTCGAAAAAATAGTCCTTGAAAAAATAAATATTTAAAAAATCCACGTTTATCCTCGAAAAAAATGAAAAAAATCCACGTCCTTGAAAAAATATTTAAAAAATCCTCCTTTCCCTAAAAAAAGTCCTAAAAAATATTCTAAAAAAATCGCGTTAAAAAAGGCTATAAAAAATAGTCCCTGGAAAGTAATCCTTTAAAAATTATTGAGCAAAAAATAATAGTCCAAAAAAATAGTCCTTGAAAAAAAAAAAACATATTTAAAAAATCCACGTTTATAAGTCTCTAAAAATGGTCCTTAAAAAATCCACATTTATAATAGTCTCTGAAAAATAATCCTCGAAAAAAAATATTAAAAAAATCCACGTCCTTGAAAAAATATTTTAAAAATCCTCCTTTCCCTTAAAAAGTCCTAAAAAAGTATCCACGTCCAAAAAATGCACGCCCTTGAAAAATTATTTTAAAAATCTCCTTTCCCTAAAAAAGTCCGTAAAAATTTCCGCGTCCAAAATTGCATCTGCGTAGATAATAATCCTTGATGTATTCTCCTTAATTTCTCTAAAATATTCCCCTTTGCTACGCTCCTCCCTTACCTCCACGGCCGTCTCCATGACCTTTTTCGGATTGAATTGCAAAGAAAACTGCTGTATCTCATCATTCAGCGATTCCAGACGTTCCTCGAAACCAATGCATTCACTCAAATGCAATCGCTTAAATTCTTCAATATCCAGTTTCTGTTCCTCCTTCAGTGTACTTAGACGATCCAGAATCTGTTTAGGCCATGCATATGCCTCCCATTTCATGGCAAATTGATGATCGGGTAGATTATAGAAAAAACTATCCAACATATCATATTCTAGCCACATTATTTGTATATCTGCCCTCAGCTGCTCCACCAATTCCGGTATGGTCAGGGCAAAGTTGCGTATGTCAAAGAGATGTTCTATGCTCTGTGGTTTTTCATTGATACGATTGTAGATTTCCAGGCAACGTTCCAGCAGACGTTCATTGCTGTCATACATTCGATCAATGTAGTATTCGAAAATACGCTTGACAATTTCAATACGTTTTCGTATCATATACTGCTTCATGGGATCGACTATGACCTGGAAGGGTCCAATGCTTATGGATGCGGGGAGAATTTCACGCATTTCCTCTTTGCAGCGTTTGTGTTCCAAAATATCCGCCTTCACTTGCATTGAGGTTTTCTGGGCTGCCCGATATTCGGCCATGTAGGTGGGTACGTGTAGCAAATAGAATTCCACAAAACGTTCATATTTCCGAGCATAGGAGTGCAGAGGCCCAATGGCCTTTAAATAACAACGCTGGAGTAAATCATTACAGCGCACATAGAGATCTTCGATGAGTTCCACGGTGAGTATGAAGAGATTTGGGGCAAATCGCAAATTTTGCAGCGTTTCGGCATCAATGCAGCGCACACCGCTGGTTTTCTCCAAACTTTTTTTGAAAACTTCCTTGAGGGCAGGTGGAAATTCCTCGGGACTTGTGGAATAGATGACCTCCCGGGTATCTTCCGTTACACTTATGACTAGCGAGAATATGGGCTTGGCATAGGGAAATTCAGAATTTATAAAATCACTTGTCCACTCATAAGACTCGTCCAAGTCGAGGAAGCCCAAACAAGGATCACTGAGGAAATGCGTAAAAGTTTCAATGGAATTCTCCAAAAGTACCTGCATAGATTCTTGCATGCGGAATTTGGTTTGTAAAATGAAACGAAATATTTTACACATTTCATAGATACGCCATTTATCCAAGCCTATATCCAGCCATCCTTTGCCCAGTGGCCGCAAGACCATAATTATGCCGGCGGCCAATTTACTGGGCCAGGAATTTTTTAAATAACCCGACACCTGGGTACTTTGTTGTTGTTGAATGCCTAGGAAATCCGCCAAGGGTAGGGCTTTGGCAAAATTACAAATGAAGAGGTTCAAGGTTTCAATGTACAAACATTCGGCGGCCACATTACTCATGGCCTCTATGCCTCCACCGGTGTAATAAAGCGAGGAGTTTAGGACTTCATAGCCTCTCTTTGGTATGTCGATTTTGAATCCTTTAATTATTTCCCTCTCTTTTTCACTTTGCAGCGATACAAAGGCCTTGGGCAGAAACCGAGCTATTATATCCGGCCGCAACATGGGAAATTGTTTGGGCGAGATTTGTACAAATCTCTGCAAATCATAACAGGCCATTAAGTGTTCGAACAGCAAGTAGATCTCATGCCACAATTGCTGATAAAATACCTCATCCGTATTGACATTTGCCATAAGACGCTCAAGAAGTTTGTTGCCATAATAATGTCTTTCCTCCATATTCTGTCTGAGCACACAATCTGCAATTGTCTCCATCATTATTTGCGACTCGGCCATATTGCGTTGCTCCACAGCCGAGCGCAGGCGTTCCACAAACAAAAAAGGATTTTCGGCCAAAAACATAATTTGTATACCCGGCACCTCGTAACAGCATTCATCCGACAATATCATAACCTTCCATTTGCCTCGTTCAAAATCATAATCACTCACTGCTGCATCTTGCCATTCATAGTGGCGCAAACTTTGTTGCAGGGGTAGGAAAGCCTTGGCTGGCAGCGGATATCTTTGATCACCCTCCACCACTCCCAGAGACAACCAAATCTCTGGGGTATGACTTTCCATGCCGGGATCATCGAAAAAACTCAAGGGTAGAAAATGTTTAAAAGTTTTCTCGGACATGCCAAAATAGTCCTCCTCGGAGGGTAATAATTCCTCCACACTCAGACCCGCCTTGGCCAGCTCTTGACACAAATCGACTTTATTGAAAAGCCTTCGCCTACGATCCACCTCCACATCACGGGGTAACTGTTTGGCCGGCACTCGCCTTGTCATCTGGACCTTGGGTAGTATGGTTTTCAAGGGGAATTTATGTATGCGGCCATTTTTACCCTCCAGCGTAAGCCATCTCTGGGCCAATTCAATGTTGTATTCGTAATTGGGTAGCTTGTCACGTTCGATGGTCAATTCCTTGAAGTGAACGGCCGACTCATTGGTTTGTTGACAAACCTTAACGGTGATGGGTGGACTCTCGTCCAATGTTGAATCGCGGGTAGGTATTACAATACCCTGCGAGTAGATTGTGGTGCGGCGAGACTCGTAGAAGGCATTTGGTATAGATGTCCGTGGGGATGTGGAGCCTTCGGCAAAAATCGAACCTCTTGGATGTTGGTGTGACATGATGTTGAAATGTTATTTTTGTTTAGAAAAAAAAATTGACAAAAATTTCAAATCATAAAAAAAAGTTACCTAGAATCAGTCGATTTTGCCGACAGCTGCATACCCTCAGTTATATGGGGGCCATACGATATCGTGGACCGATATAGCCCATCTTCGAACTTGACCTGAATATATATACTTTGTTATGTTTAAAATTATTATTTCGATGAGTTACAAACGGAATGACGAACTTAATATACCCTCTATGCTATGTATGGTGGAGGGTATAAAAATTGCAAAACTAGTATATTCTTCCTGGTTCTGGAACAGATTCTTCCATAAAACAGGCTCCTCCATAAAAAAAAAAAAACAATTTTTGAATTTTGATGAACTGGAATCTGGAAATTCCATAGAATTTTCTAAGTTTGAAAATAGTTACATTAGCCAAAGGTTCACAGTTTGAGAGTCTCCAATTCACAGTTTGAGAGTCTCCAATCATCAACGTCACTACTCTCATCGACATTCGCCAGTTATCGATAATTATTTATGCTGATTGAAATGTTCAATATACACATGTTTGTAAACAAAAAAAAAAACAGATGTTAGCCACAAGAGCCTCACTCCCCTCATCAATCGGAAAGCTATTATTTACTCCAGATTCCGGTCATTATCTTATAAACCACCTTACGAACGTGTTCAGCAAATAGTAAGAAATTTTCCCGCCAACCATGTCGAATGGAAGTGATGAAATTATCAAAACCATAGCTGTCATAGATTTGGAAACAAACGGTCTGCCATGGCAACAGGGCAATACGTGCGCCATAACAGAACTTAGCATATATGCCTTTGCCGCCACTTGCCTTAGTGGACACAAGGAGGAATCTCTGCTTCGAGAATTGGACGATGATCTGCAGATTGTGGAAAAAATTCAGCCGCCAATGTTGCCCCGCGTCCTGCATAAGATCACATTGATGATCAATCCGAATAAGGAAATACATCCGGAGGCTGCCAAGATTTCAGGTAAGTCGTTAGGAATTATACGGCGTTATTTTAATAACCATTCTTAAGGGAGGGCAAAAGGATTTCACATAAGGCTTAAGGTGAATTTCTCAGAAAAAAATCAAGTTTTGAAGCACGTCCACTGAAGAATCCAAGGTCCCAGGAGAGAATTTTTCAAGGACCAACAGACCACAAGACACGGATATTTTTAAAGAATATTTTTTCAAAGGCTATACCAGGCGTGCGTTTTTTAAAGATTATTTTTTGAAGGACCAATAGAGGTATGAATTTTTTAAAGAATATTTTTCAAGGACCAATAGAGTCATGGATTTTTTGAAGAATATTTTTTCAAAGACCAATAGAGACATGGATGTTTTAAAGAATATATTTTCAAGGACCATGCCAGGCGTGCGTTTTTTAAAGAATATTTTTTCAAGGCCCAATAAACGTGGATTTTTTAAAGAATATTTTTTCAAGGCCCAATAAACGTGTATTTTTTAAAGAATATTTTTTCAAGGCCCAATAAACGTGGATTTTTTAAAGTATTTTTTTTCAAGGCCCAATATAGGCGTGGATTTTTTAAAGAATATTTTTTCAAGGCCCAAATAGGCATGGATTTTTTAAAAAAATATTTTTTCAAGACCCAATATAGGCATGGATTTTTTAAAAAATATTTTTTCAAGGCCCAATATAGGCGTGGATTTTTTTAAGAATATTTTTTTTAAGGCCCAATATAGGCATGGATTTTTTAAAGAATATTTTTTCAAGGCCCAATATAGGCGTGGATTTTTTAAAGAATATTTTTTCAAGGCCCAATATAGGCGTGGATTTTTTAAAGAATATTTTTTCAAGGCCCAATATAGGCGTGGATTTTTTAAAGAATATTTTTTCAAGGCCCAATATAGGCGTGGATTTTTTAAAGAATATTTTTTCAAGGCCCAATATAGGCGTGGATTTTTTAAAGAATATTTTTTCAAGGCCCAATATAGGCGTGGATTTTTTAAAGAATATTTTTTCAAGGCCCAATATAGGCGTGGATTTTTTAAAGAATATTTTTTCAAGGCCCAATATAGGCGTGGATTTTTTAAAGAATATTTTTTCAAGGCCCAATATAGGCGTGGATTTTTTAAAGAATATTTTTTCAAGGCCCAATATAGGCGTGGATTTTTTAAAGAATATTTTTTCAAGGCCCAATATAGGCGTGGATTTTTTAAAGAATATTTTTTCAAGGCCCAATATAGGCGTGGATTTTTTAAAGAATATTTTTTCAAGGCCCAATATAGGCGTGGATTTTTTAAAGAATATTTTTTCAAGGCCCAATATAGGCGTGGATTTTTTAAAGAATATTTTTTCAAGGCCCAATATAGGCGTGGATTTTTTAAAGAATATTTTTTCAAGGTACATTTGAGGAGTGGATTTTTTAAAGATTTTTTTTTCAAGGTCCATTTGAGGAGTGGATTTTTTAAAGATTTTTTTTTCAAGGTCCATTTGCGGAGTGGATTTTTTAAAGATTTTTTTTTCAAGGTCCATTTGCGGAGTGGATTTTTTAAAGAATTTTTTTTTCAAGGTCCATTTGAGGAGAGGATTTTTTGAAGAATATTTTTCCTGACTTCCTTTCAGGCCTAACAAATAATTTATTACAACGAGAGGCACCCTTCGATGAGAATACAGCAAACTGTCTATTCATGTTTTTAGAACGCCTTCCCGCACCAGTTTGTTTTGTGGCCCACAATGGCTGGTCTTTCGATTATCCGGTCATACGTTATGTTCTGCAGACTATTGATAAGGTAAGTTGGCATTATACAAATCTCTTACATGAAACCATACTAATACCTCTTTTTCACCCCCCGCACAGTCCATGCCATCCTCAATATTCTGCATTGATTCCTTCAAAGCATTTCGTGAATTTGATGAAAAGGAACTAAAAATAAATGCCATCAAAGAACAACTACAACAAATGCAATATAACAATTCAACAAAAGATTCAAATAACTGTGATATTTTGGCATCCACTCTGGTTGCAGCTGAAAATGAGAAGCGTCAGTTTGCCTTGAACATGTATCGGCAAATATTTTCTCAACCCTTTACACCGGCCACAAGATTCCCCAAAAAAGGTGTATATGTTTTGGGTAATTTCTATGAACGAGTCTTTCAACAGAAACCCATGAATTTACATCGTGCCGAAGCTGATGTGGAGATTTTAACAAAATTGATTTTACACTATGGCCTTGTGTTTTTGGCCTATGCCGAGGAACGCAAACAATCCTTTGATGAGGTATTGCCTCTGGGATGTCGTTCATAGTGGGTGATTGGAAATGACGCGATTTACATGTCTAGACTTAATTTTAGGGCAAATTTTACATTACATTACATTTTGTGTAACTCGAATATTTTTTTACTATTAAAAATCAATTTTTTATACAGAAATATTTTTGTTATTTATTCCAAAAGAGTATTTAAAAGTTGCAGGAATTTTTTGTCCAATTGCATGGTGTGGATTTACATCAAATCGAGGGGAGTTATATGTGAGCTATATCTAAATTCGAACCGAGTCCGAAAAAAAAATGACAAACTGTATATGATATATTTGGTATGTTCCAGAGCTGCCAAAATTTACAGAATTGTAATACGATGAACGATTTTTTCCTTTATGATAAATAGTAGATTCTTGCACGTTCTTGAAAAGTCTGGAAATGATTTCTGAGAAGAACGTTTGAGCTTATTTTCCACCAATAAACAGACTATGCTTTCTATTTCATAACATGGGATACCTGTAAAATATGACGATTAAAGTCTCTACATCTTTTTCATCCTCTATAGTAATCAGAACCACTGTTATCCCATTTTGAGTTAAAATTTTTAATATTGCAGTGGCCTGAAAATATGCCTATCGCGATTTTTAGACCAATTAATTGTTGAAAAGGAACTGATGCTTCTTCTAGAGATAGCAGGGCAGAAAGCCTTAGATATCTTGCAAACGATTTCTGACAGCTTCTTCGATGAGAGTCTTTTTGACATAATACTTAATGGCTGGGATCAACTCGCTGAGAACAAACCCGAGTTAAATAAATTCAAAATACCGAATATCAGTGGGTTCCGGATATAGGAAAACATGGACAGGGTGAGATGAAAAAACTGCAACCAACTTCAAACTGCTGTCATTTCTAAGATACTCACGTCCGACAACTGTTAAAATTATTCCAGTGACATCTCATTATATTATTTACAAGCGTACAAAATTATTTTGGTCAGAATTTTCCAGAAGAGATATTATTCGTGATGGAATTCAAGCGTGCTAGTGTGATTTCTTTATATTTGGCTAGAAAACCACAAGTGGCTATCGTTAGAGCACTCCAGCATTTAAATGTGAATAAATCTTTTGTGTCTCGTACCATTGCTCGTTACCGTGATATAGAGTAGCCCGGGTTAAGGAAGTGGACGGAAGAAAACAGCAACATCAGCAGAAATGGTTCGAAAAGTAAAGAAGCGACTTGATCGAAACCCGCGTCACAGTGGCCGAAAAATCGCTTGTGTACTAAACATATCGCAATATTCCATTCCGAAAATATTGAAAAATGATCTCGGGGTAAAACCATTGAAATTCCATAATGTGCAAGAACTTATTCCGCAACAGAAAGAAAATAGACTCAAATAGCTAAAGAGTTGCTTCGCTTGGCCGAAAGTAGTGAACTGCCAAATTTCGGTTTCTCCGATGAGAAAACAAACATTCGTTGTCCAGCAGTTGGTAAACAAACAAAATGATCGTGTTTACTTGCCAAAGAGGTCAGCTCAAAATATGCACCTTCTGTTGGCCACCTAAACTCAAGCGCCGGCCATGCTGATGGTATGGGCTGCCATAACAGCCGATGGTCACTCTCCGCTCGTATTAATCGACCGTGGCATCAGAATAAATGTCGAATATTATAGCGAAAATATTCGGTCGGGTGTATTAAAGCCTTGGTCACGCTAACATTATGGCCGCAGACCTTGGACATTCCAACAGGACTCAGCACCATCACACTCAGTACGTGCCACGCAAGAATAGTTACAAAATGAGGTTCCTCGCTTCTTTTCCAGCGCAGAATGGCCACCAAAATTGTGTCTGGAATATTTTGGAAAGCAAGGTTGGCACTAAAAAATCCCACCTTCAGCAAGCGCTTCGTCGGGAATGGGCCAAAATAGCGCAGAGCAACATTCGGGAAGCGTGTGACGTCTTCATAGGCCGTTTGAAGTCCATAATTCGTGTCAAAGTTGACCAATTCGAAAAAATCTAAACTTATTCTAAAATTTGATATTATTTCCGACATTTTTTACTTTCATTCAATAAAATTAAAAAAAATATGTATAAATTATGGCATTTGACTTTGTTGTAGTTTTTTTATCTCACCCTGTATATACAATGTTCCGCCACCGGAGCTAGAACCCATTAAGAACTACAAATACAAATTTGTAGACAAATCCGCGGAAAATTGTGCCAAAAATCGTCAAAATACCGAATATCGGAGGGTACTGCTATATGGGGGCTATACGAAAACGAGGACCTATACATATAATATTCCGCCACCGGAGCTAGAACCCATTTGGACGTACATATACCAATTTTTAGTCAATTCCGTGGACAAATTTGGCGAAAATCATCAAAATATTGAATATCGGGAGGTACCGTTTCATGAGGGCTATACGAAAACGTGGACCTATACATATAATATTACGACACCGGAGATAGAACCCATTAAGAATTACCATTACCAATTTTTAGACAAATCCCTGGAAACATGTGGCAAAATTCATCAAAGTTACCGAATATTGGGTGGTACTGTTATATGGGGGCTATACAAAAACGTGGACCTATACATACAATATTCTGCTACCGAAGATAAAACCCATTACGACCTACAATTACCGAATTTTAGACAAATCCGTGGAAAAATGTGGCAAAAGTTGTCAAATACCGAATATCGGGAGGTACGAATATATGGGGGCTATACGACAACGTGAAGCGATATATCTCATTTTTACCACCAATCATCCTTGACATAATACAAATTGTTCTGACAAATTTTGTAGCCCTACGTAAATTAGAATGTTCTGCCGCCGGTGCTAGAACCCATTATTACCTACATAAACCAATTTTTAAACAATTCCCCGAAAAAAAGACAAATTGTACAAAATAATGTGGGCTGTATCGTGATTTCAACAAACAGACAGACGGACATCGTTAAATCGGCGTAGAATTTTATGCTGATCATGAATATATATACTTTATGGGGTCTACGACGAATATTTAGAGATGTTACAAATGGAATGACAAAGTTGTTTCAAATTTCCATCTCTGTCATGTCGCCCGGTAACATCGATTGGAGAAACTAACAATCGATATTCCATACTACAATAGAATATCGTTACTATCGGTTTTACCGCCATCGTCTGTTTGTCACCACTATAATAAGCAAAGAAAAACACGAACAAAACAAATGTGAAGAAAATGTAAGTAATTCCTGTAATTATCCAATAATCCCAACTTTAATTACATAATTCCCCTGATTATAGGCATAATAGACCCTTTCGCAAATGTGCATTACCGCAATGTTCTGGTTTGCGATTTAATCTGGTGCACAAATTCCCCCGTCGCAAGGAGCGACTCCAGCAGTGGCTGGATGCCATTGGCAGTCCGCGTTTAAGCAACCTTCCCGTGGAACGTTTGAATCTGCTTTGGATTTGTTGTCGTCACTTTCGTGTCGAAGACTATGTCAATCCGCAGTCCAAGACGTTGAATGTGGCTGCGGTGCCAAGTTTGAATTTACAGCAATTGAATGCCTTGGACAAATGTCGTCAGGGCGATGTGGAGAAGGCAACCGTTTTGACAGATGAAGAAATCATTTGGCTGCAGGAGAGCAAAAGTAGGGGGCAATTGGAATTGCTGAAGCTGAAGGCCAACCCGCGACAGACAACATCGCCAAGTGGACAGCAGCAACAACAGAGTAATAGTGTCAGTTCCACAACCATTACCCCATCGCCGCCACCACCACCATCCACATCACCAACGTCAACAACGGCAGCAATCAGCCTAGCTGAGGCGGAAAGAATTTTAAAACAAACACCTTGCTTTCCCAAAAGTATCACCACATCAACTGCAACAACGCCAACCTCAAGCATCATCCCACCACCCACCATTCACAATGTACCACCATCACCAACAGACTCCACCGAAGATACCACCGATTTTACCTTGTTTCTCGACGATGGTTACATTGAAATTAATGACTACAAACGGGCACGTACCTATGAGCTGAACAGTTTATGGTTGCGTTCCCTGTGCCATTGCTCCAAATGCTATGACGTTGAACATGATGTGCCCAAGATAAATGTATTCGAATTGTCACCCGAGGTTCAGCCAATTATGGCAAATGTTTCGGATGAGACGACGAAGTTGGAGATTGTATGTAAGTTGAAGAAGAAGGTGCATGGGAGGGCATAATGCTGATAACCGTTAGAGGTGATCGAGAGGAAATTTTAATAGATGACAAAATGAGAATTGATAGACGATAATGGATGAGAAGGAGGATCTCATAAATAAATAGGGGAAGTCATTAGTGGCTATACTAATAATATGCTACCATTGGCAACACGGAAGGAGTCTTTACGAAGACCTACGTCGCGGATTATTGAGGTCTTCCAAAGTGGAATTATATAGTCTTCGAAGATAGCCTTTGCTGTGGACTGGAATTGACTGACAACCTCGGGAGGTTCTAAAAATGGACCTTAATAATACTACCAGATTTGTGTATTAAAAGGAAGACTTTGTACAGACAATAAGAAGATACTTTCAAAAATGACCGTAATGGCGAATTTTGTGGCTCAGCGAAAACCTTTACAGAGAAATCGATAGGAGCTTTCGTAGAGAAACAGGGGTTAGCCTTGAGACAGAAAGGAACTGTAACAACTTGGGCGGTCCAAAATTAATATTTCAAATGAAACACTTTAAAGAGGAATTAGAAAGTCTTCGAAGATGGCCTTTACAGTGGACGGGAATTGACTGACAACCTCAGGAGGTTCTAAAAATGGACCTTAAATACTACCAGATTTGTGTGTTAAAAGGAAGACTTTGTAGAGGTATTAGAAGAAGCCCTCAAAACCACCGCAGTGGCGAATTTTGTGGCCCAAGGACAAACTTTACAGAGAAATATAAAGGAGCTTTCATAGAAGACCGGGGGTTAGCCTTGAGACCGGAGGGAACTGTAACCACGTAGGCGGTCTTAAGAGACGACCTGAAATACCAACAGAAGGGGGACTAAAAAGTCTCACTAGACGACCCAATAATAAATTGCTATTAAAAATAGAAATAGATAAATTAAAATGAAGTACCAGTAAATACCAGAATGGCGATTTTGGGGGGCCAACTCAAATACTATAGGGGAATTACAAATAGCCCTTTTAAGGGGACCGGAAGGGGCGTTTTTAAATAACTTGGGGAGTTCCTAATGGGTGACTTCAATTACTACCAGACGGTGAATTTTGTGGCTTAAATGAAAGACATTGTAGAGATAATAAAAAAGTATTCATAGAAGAACCGAAGATAGCCTTTATGGGCGTCCGGAAAGGACACTGTTGTAAACAACTTTGGGAAGTCTAGATAGATGACCTGAAATACTACCAAAGTGTCGATTTTGTGTACCATCTGGAAGACTTAATATAGGAATGGAAAATAACATTCATATACGACCAGAAGAGAGAGCCTTTTGTAAGCAACATGTGGAGGTACTAATAGTTCATCTGATGTACTACCAGAATGCGGATTTTGTGGGTCAATTGAAAGACTTTATAAATGAATAAAAATACCATTCAAAGAGAGCCAGATGTTAGCCTATCGTGGGGTCCGGAAGGACCGTTTTGTAAACACCTTGGACGGTCCCAAGAGATGGCCTGAAGTACTACCAGAAGGGAGCTTGAGAAGTCTCATTAGACGAACCAATAAAAAATTTCGGTTGAAAAAGAAAATAGCTGAACTGAAATATTACCAGAATTGCGATTTTGTGGACCAACTAAAATATTATCGAGGATTTACAAAGAGCGTTTATAAGGTGTTCAAAAGGGACTGTTTTTAAATAACTCGGGGAATACTAATGGATAACTTTAAGGACTACCAGAATATCGATTTTGTATGTTAAATTGAAAACTTGCAAATGTATTAAAAAGAGTCTTCATAGAAGAACCAAAGTTAACATTTATAGGGGATCGGCAAGGACGATGTTGTAATCAACATGGGGGGTCTTTATAGTTGACTTGAAGTTCTGCCAGAATAGACCATCTGGAAGACTTAATGGAGGAATGAAAAAGAGCATTCAGAACCTTAATGGAGGACTGTTTTGTAAGCAACTTGTGCAGGTCCTAATAGTTGATCTAAAGCACTACCAGAATTACCATCTGGAAGACTTAATGGACGAATGAAAAAGAGCATTCATTCACGATCTGAATAGAGCCTTAATGGAGGAATGAAAAAGAGCATTGATTGGTCATTACCAGAATGACGATTTTATCGGCCAATTGAAAAAACTTATGGGTGAATTCAAAAGAGCCTTCACGAGACCAGAATATCGTTTTTTGATACTTTAAATGAGGATTTTTGGGATACCAGAATGACGATTGACATAGAGTATTTTTACAGGCGACAGAAGGCAATTTTAACAGACGAATTTTATATAGTATTAAACTACTTGAAGGCAGCTTCCTACATAGCAAAAACCTGATTAAACGCAAACTTAAATATAGTTCTAGAAGGAGATTTTTATACGTGGCGTCTTTTTAGGGACCCAGAAGGAATTTGCTAATTCCATGAGAAGACGGTCTGTTGGTGACCAGAAGGACATTTTTAAAGAATTTAAATGGGGAGTTTTGGGATACCTGAATGACGAATATAGGCAATAATAGATTATTGTTTTACAGTCAATTGAGAACTTGTATCTTATCAGAATTAGGTCATTTAGGTTTATTTGGTGTCTTTACAGAAGGTCAGAAAACTATTTCTTGACCAACTGATAGGTTTATTAACGATCTGAAGGCCAGAAGGCACTTAAAGACGATCTAAAGACAAGGAAGTCGTAATAAGCAAGTTGAATGCCATGTAGTCTATAAATGTTCTTAAGGCCAGATAGTCTTTACATTCGAAATAAAGATCAAAGGGAGTTGTTATAGATAAGCTAGAAGTCATGGAGTCATTATGAGTTGGAGGTCAGGGAGTCCTTATAGACGAACTGAAGATCTGGGAGTCTTTAGTCTTTATCAGGCAGTTTTTCACTATAGTCCAGCTGAAGATTCAATTAAGGATTTTCTAAAGACAGGCAGTCTTTATATACGAAAGGCAGATCAAGGGGAGTCGTTATATATGAGCTAGAAGTCATGAAGTCCTTATAGACAAGCTTAAGATCAGGTAGTCTTTATTCACCATATGAGGCTCTGGGATTCTCGAAAGACAGAAAGTTTTTCCAACGAGTTGATGATCAGGGAGTACTATAGTCTAGCTGAAGACCAGGGAGGTTTTATAAATGAGCTGAGAGTCCGGAAAGCCTGCTACACAAAAAAGACCAAGAAGTCTCTATAGACATTTTTTAAATTCTTTTTTTTAATATTCAATTAAGGATTTTCTAAAGACAGGGAATCTTTATATACGAAAGGCAGATCAAAGGGAGTTTTACATATGAGCTAAAGTCATGGAGTCCTATAGACGAGCTGAAGATCAGGTAGTCTTTATTCACCATATGAAGCTCAGGGATTCTCGAAAAGCAGAAAGTTTTTCCCACGAGCTGAAGATCAGGAAACTTTTCACTACGATCCAGGTGAAGACAAGGGTGGTTTTTTAAAGGAGCTGAGAGTCGGGCAAGCCTGATAGATGAGTTACAGACCAGAAGGTCTCTATAGACAAACATTTTTTAAAATAATGTTTAATATCCAATTAGGAATTTTGAAAATAATGCTCCTCCCTTTTCTCTTCCAGGGGAAGACGGTCATACCTCTACATATGACCTAAATAAAATCTACGAAAAAATGCAAAGAAAAAACGCCACGAATCCTCTGCATAATTACATATTGTGGTCAGTGCGTGAGATGAAAGAAAAAGACACTTGCGATGCTTTTCAACCCATACCATGTTACGATTTGCTCATGGATACGAATAAAATACCCACCGCCCTACAAAGGTTACAACAAACTGGCGTCTTAGTTATAACCTCCCTACCCAAATCCGATGCGGATTCATTGCTCAGACGGACGCTTATATCAAAACTCTTCAATCATGTCTGGGATAATTTGACGAGTGAACGGCGACGAAATTTTTGTGCCAACCACACAACGCCCTATACGAACTGTACCTTTGAGTCCATGGACAAGGGTCTACAAATGCTCACTGTGCCATATCACAATGAAAATATCAAAATTAAGTTATGTCTGGTCGACGGTTTTAATGCGGCCAAACAATTGCAACAATTGAATAAAATATCTTATGATTTTCTAACCCAGTACATACTGGACTATTCGTTTAAGGATAATCGAGGTTATAGTCACAAAACCAAACATCATGTTATTAATCTTAAGGATGAACGTATTATGTTCGCACCGTATCATTTGGGTGATTTGAAGGCGCAAGATTTCGATTTGGTTGCCACACATTCTAGGAATTTCAATGAAATACTGAAACGAAGCGAAAATCAATGGCATTTGGAATTGGATTCTGAGATGTTGATCATTTTGGATAATTTTCGCATTTGTTGGTGCCTAAGTGAGCCGCATGCCGATGCAGCTGAATTGAGCTGTTTCTACATGGAGAGAAGACATTTTCTGAGTAGTTTACATCAATTACAAAAGGTAGGTCCAGTGTTTTTCTGTGGTAGATTTTTTCTAAAAAGTAATAGCAATTTTTTTATTATTTTCCAGCAGTGATTTTCTTGTCGTATACACCAATCGCAACATTTAAAGTTCCTATATATATATATATATATACATGCATATATACAAAACCCATCTACATACATACATATATATACATACATAAAAAAAAACAATTCGAATGTTCCTATTAAAATTTAAGCCTAAACTCTGTTGTTGACCACTTCCCAACTAAGTTCAAGTGTGGATGCAACAGACTAATTTAATGATAAGTTAAGCTAGGATGTTCCTAATTACGAGTAGTTTGATGTTCCTATTTTACAAAAGATAAACATAAGAAGAAAAAAAAAAACGAAATCATAAAAGCTCATGCTTGACAAGTGTAATATTTTTAAAAGAATATTATATTTAATATACTTTTATTGATGTTCCTATTTACAAATAGCTGATAAATAAAATCAACAATGATGATAATGATGATAAAACTCCAACCAAGAGCGGTTATTTTATCAATATATATTACGAAGTAATAAAAAATTAAAATATTTAGCGAGGGCCAAGAGGGTAATCAATGTCTTTAAACATTATTATTTTTAAACCTCAAACCTTGCAAAGAAAATTTTTAAAAATATGTTTTCAAAGATCATTGGGAGTATGAATGTGAAGTTTTAAAAATATATATTTTTTTTCGTAGGCTATCAGACTTATCAATGAGGATTTTTGGAAAAGAGTTTTTGGGGAACCATTAGATCTATTAGCATGGAAAAATATTTTGGCATCGTCGATTTTTTTAAAAATAATTTTTAAGAACCATCACAACTACCAACATGGTTTTTAAAAATGAATTTCAATGACCATCGGACCTATCAACGAGAATTTTTAACAAATATATTCTCAGGGACTTTTAGATGTATCAATGAGGTGCACAATTAACCTGATCGGTTAAAGATATACATGGAAGCTATATCCAAATCTGAACCGATCTTGATACAATTTGACAGAGGAATCTAATATCTGGTACCAGATTTATTCTTGTGGGGAGCATATTACGTACGTGAGGGACTTAAACACCAAATCGGATGAAACATATATATGGAAGCTATAGCTGTATCTGAACCAATTTTCACCAAATTTGATGCACTTGCTTCTAGAATGAATTCGATCGGATGTGCCAAAATTCAGGTTATTTGGACTGATATTGGCACAATTAATCCGAAATCGGTTGAAGATATATATGGGAGCTATATCGAAATTTTAATAGGATTCATCCTTCGACCAAGCATATATTGTTTGGAAAATTTCATCTCAATCGGATAATAAATGTGACCTGCATTTTGTTCCCAAGAATACATGTACAGACGGACGGACTGACATGCATATATCGACTCAGAAAGTAATTCTATGAAGATCCTTAATCTCGCTTCCTTCTTCCTGTTACATACAAATACACAAAGACAAAATGTCCTTAACACTATGTGGTGTAGGGTATTAAAATGTGACAAATTTGGAATTGATATGAGTACCTTGCGAGCAGCGACTTAATGGCTGTCGAATCCTAGGAAAAAAGATGATGCGACCTCAGCCATGGTCAACGATGTCACGCTAACTGATCCGAAGAGGAATGCTGATCATTTTCACTGAAAAGGTTCCGAATGACAGATTTCATTCCACCGAGGAGGTATCACTCATTGTACAATTTTTGAGCCATGGTACCACCGTAGTTTATTAATGTCATTTGACGCTTAGGCCATCCGTAAATCTTGGACGTCGCCAATAAAGTTGAATTATATGGAGGACATGAAGTTCTGTACCACTAATGGCCAGAACCCGTCGGTAGGGACACATTAATGTCCGCGAAGTCAGTATACTGAGGTGAAAAGTTTGGTGTAACATCAGAACTGTGACAAATTTTTAATTGATATGAGTAAATTTGCGGGCAACGATTTGGACTCTCTGTAATCCCAGGAAAAAAGGACGATATTATGCTAAGTCACGTTTAACGACGCCAAGGATGGCTTGGCCGTTATGTTGTCGAATATAAATGATCACTTGTTAGATATCTTTCTATCGATAAGTTTATTATGGGCGAGGTTGTTAATGCCGATACGCAGATTATCCAAAATTCCAATCCTACTGTTTTGTCGAGACCCATAAAGGGAAAAAATGGACAGATCATAAGAAATTTGACAAGTTAGGAATTTATATTACTCAATTGCGGTAACTCCGAATACGAACAGCTCGAGGTGCCAAGAGAAATATTGTATCAGATCTCTTTCCACCGAGGACGTACCGCCACCGTTTATGATTTTCCGATTTTATAAATGCCCTCTGAAACGCAGTCCATTCGGTATATTTAAAATAGCTTCAGAACTTCGATAAGGTTCAGTGCTCATTTTAGATATATTTCCATTGATTAGATTACAGCACAATCTATGATGGGCGAGGTTGTAAATGCCGAAACGCAGATCATCTTAAACTCTAAACCTACTGATGGTAGAGTCAGTGAACTGTCATTGGTTGGCAAACAGGTTGGTCGGTAGGCATAAAGGGAAAAATTGGACAGATCATCAGAAATGTGACAAGTTGGAAATCAATGCCACTAAATTGCTGTAACTCCGAATCCAAGCAGCATGAGGTGCCAAGAGGAATATTGTAGCAGATCTCTTTCCACCGAGAAGGAACCGCCATTGTTTATGATGGGCGATGTTGTAAATACCGCCCGAACAGCAGTCCATGTGGTATTTTTAAAAAAGCTGGATGACCGGAATTCCAGTACTCCGCTACGAAATTTATAACACTCAATTGTGGTGACTCCGAATCCGAAAAGCACGAGGTGCCAAGATGAATTTTGTATCAGATCTGTTTTCATCCGCAACTTATCGTCATAGTTTATAATGGGCGATATTGTAAATGATGTCCGAAGAGCATTCCATTTGGCATTGTTTAAAATATCTGATTATTTCCGAAGCCTGGAAAATTGATCGGGTCAAGCCGTTGCCGAAGGCCTGTAAATGTTGAACAGAAGGCCTTACTTCTCTACCCAGCAGCAGAAATATCTATAAAGATGTCATCAATAGGATTTCTCACACGCATACGTCGAAGACAAGAATAGGACGTGCCCTAAAAGCTCGCTACATTGCTATGGCCCAGGGACGAAAGCTCAATCTGAAATGATCAATTTTCTATTTTTTTTTGAAAATTTCTCACGTAAAAAAGGAATCTTTTATAGTTGGCCGACCCATTGGAAATGTTTTCAACACTAAGCCTGGATACTTCGGGTACTCACGAAATTTGGGAGCCTTCGTTTGGAAAGGAAGGATATGCAAGAAAATCTTTCATTGTTGCAAAGAGGACCGACCTCAAGGGCTTCTTGCGGTAACACTTATAAATTGATTCGCGAGGGAGGGGTCTAAATTTGACTTGGTTTGCTTCAGACCAACATATGCCTGAAGATCAGTATTTGCAAAGAATTTGGAATGGAAATCACAATAAAAACCGTGAGTACTCCCACAAAGTGGGAACAGTAAAGTTGAATTCGCGAACATCAATCAATCAAAAAGTAAATTAAGTATGTTTCTTCTTACCTTTGTTTACAAGGAGAACAAGCCCAAAAGTGTGATTATATAAGAAGCTTGGACGCAGGTTTCGAGTGCGGCTGTGGCATCCTTTTATGATATGTCACAAAATATGTCATACGAAGACTTTCAGCTGCTTCGAAGACAACTTAGGGGCATCTTTTGGTAATATTTTTAAATTCATACTCGAGTGGGCCCTGAATTTGGCAATTATAAAATGCAATTTATAAAAAATAAATTTAAATGGAAACTCTCCAAAATCCATGACTTTCCAATAAAGTTAGGCCAGCCAAGTTACATTTACGAACACCGTCACAATAAAAAGTAAACAATGGCAAAATGCAGCAAGTTCAAGGAATGTGCTTCTTCTTCTTTTTACCTTTTATCCACATCTTCATTAGGAGGGTTAACGGCACATATTTGTCTCATGAACATTGCACAACGTAATAATTTAACACTGCTTTAAAGAAAAAACACTCGCAAAAATATAAAACAAACACGAAACACAATTCAAACTATTCTAATTGGATGAAAAAAAATTATGGATATTAAAACATTAACGTGAAACCGTGCAAGGACATTTTGATTTAAACTTTGAGGTGAGAGAACTGAAAAGAACGGCTATCTGCCTGACTTTGCTTTAAAACGCCATTACATTGCATTTCACATTTCCTTTTTTTATCTTATTTACTTATATAACACAATATTTTATTAAATACACTCGCGACAATAACCGAGTAAATACCGTTAGAATTAAATATTTAATTTATAATTAGAAATTTATTTCACTTCGATCGAATTCTTTACGAAAGGTAGACCACGCAACTGCACTCGACGACAATTAAAGAAAAACTAAACTAAATTGAGGAAAGGAAGAACTCAACAAATGGAGCACAGAAAGAGATCCCCAAAACAAAGACAGAGAGAGAATAATTGAGAATGTCACTGTACACACAAAGTCATATGTAACAGTAGCGGTTGCAATATTAAGCAAGAGTTGCCAACTCCTATTGGGCAGCCAAAAGGAAGTGCGCCAAAATTTGCAGAGCAGCATCCAGTGATGCCAATTAAGCGATTTTGGGATGTAAGAGGAATAAAAACGTTACAAAGCCACGCAGCTACTTTTGAAGACAATTTAAGAAGAATTAAATTGAGGCAAGGAAGGACACAATAAATGAAGCAATGAGAATGACATCACCCAAAGTAGAAAGAGAGAAAAAATGTAAAGAGACTACCAAAAATACACAAACAGAGGAATACGCAAAGAGTTGTGAATTCAAGGAGAGAGACATTGAAAACACACAGAGAAATAGTCAACATTAGGGTGGGTTGCCTAATTTGAGGATTCTCATTAGAATGCAAAATTAAGTCAAAAGAGGAGAAATAGTCAATAAAAGAAATAAGAACACGAACACTTGTCAGGTTTGTATTATATTAGTTATTTCCTTTACTTTATATGAGATGTGTGATACATTTTAGAAAATAAAGTGGATCGAAATATTTCTTTTTCCCACTTCATCTTTAAAATATTGGTATGGGAAATTACATGAAAGTCGAACATTTTTATTCAATTTTGTAAGAAATCATAAATTCCATATTCATATTTCTGGTTGATAGAAATATTAAGATACAGCAAGTTGTAAAGAATTGCTGATCTGTTTCGCAAGTTATGATGAGATAAAAGTATTGAAAATTGTGACCCTTTGTGGGTGAGGTACCAGAAGGGATTCGCAGATATATATCACATTCACAACAGATCTGGTGTTACCAAAAATATTTGTATGTGTGAAATTTTTTTAACCGAGATCCCTGTGTAAGTGAGGTACCAGAAGAAATGGCCCGACCCTCCCATTTCTATAACAAATCTTGTGTTGATGAAAATATTTTTATGTACCATGTCTGAATGGAATCGGATG